GAACTCGTGGGCACTCCATGAAATTGCCGAGCGGTCAGGTTAGAACGGATAAAAGGAAGTCCTTCTTCACCCAAAGAGTGATTAACCCATGGAATTCACTGCCACAGGAGGTGGTGGCGGCTACAGGCATGGACGGCTTCAAGAGGGAATTAGATAAGCATATGGAGCAGAGGTCCATCATTTTTGGCCACCGCGTGACACAGAGTGTTGGACTGGATGGGCCATTGGCCTGATCCGACATTGTCCTTATGATGCTGGTCCCACTTAGGGCCCACTTGGTGTCTGCCTGCTGGATTACAGAACAGTTTCCAACATAGAAAGACTGCAGCTAGTGGGGTGGGGAGATCACATGAATCAGTCCCATGTATTTCAACATGACATGCAATATAAAGATGTCAGATGGGCCTAGAGATGGGTCGGGTACCCCAGCTGAAAGCACCAGGGAATGCAATCCCGCCCCCACCTGTGCATAACCTTGGCACGGCTGGAGCCTTGTGTGAACCCACCTTAAGCCATGATTCAACAATTCCAAACAGTACAGAAAAGACTTGCAGCCCTAAACCTACACTAGATAAGCAACCTCTCTACCTTTGGAAATAAAAAAAATAACATAAAACACCCTTGGAAAATTCTGTAACAAAGAAAGCAGTAAAGGCAGTAATAAAATTCCAATGCAAGGAAACACTGAAACAACAACCTGAGCTTATAAGGATCTCCTCAGTAGGTGGCTGAACTTTCCAAATAAGTCAGGTACACTGCAGATATGGCCCATTAAGCCCACTTTACAGGAAAGGAACAGGACGATCAATACCCAAGGATTTTATAGAACGATTTAAATTAAATCAAGACTATTACACAAAAGTGTTCTCATCCTGTCCTCTAAACCTGAAAACATTCCAGATTTTATTTAATAAATATTTTCACACACACACTTTTCTGCCTCATGAACTCTGAAAAGGCTTTTGGCTTTACTTGGCACTCAACAAGAGACCTAGCATAGTCACAAGATTGAATGGGAGGGAAATTAAATCCACACATCTGTCCATCAGAGACAAAACAGGAACATGCCCACACAGTAAACTATGGAAATCCCAGATGTTGCGGTGTGATCACACCCTGGAAATCCGCCCGACATTCGTGCCTTTCGCGCGGCAAATTCTCCATGTGACCGGGGCCAAAGCTGTTTAACGCATCAGTTTCTCTGAGGACAGAGAGCTTCTCAGCATTCCTCCTCTGCAGGGAGCCACTTTCTTAAGAAACTGACCCAAGGAAGAGCATCTTCATTCAGAGGGAAATCTGGAGAGCGTAAAGCGAATGCTTTCAGGTACTTTGGTGGGTTCTCTAACCAGACAGATCCTTAAAGGGACAGTGACACCTCGTCCACTGAAGAGAGAGGTCTGGATTGGATTTAATGGCCCTTTGACTTAGCAAGCTCAGCGATATACCCTAACTGTACCAGGACAGGGTCCCCAACGTGGCCCTCGTGGGCACCAGAGCACTTGCCAGTGCCTTTGCACCCAACTAAGTGTTTTTAGAACATGGCTGGGTCAAGGCAGGGCTTTTGCCCAGCAGAGCTGCCAATGGGCTGTACGGAGTTTTAAAAAGTTGCCATGGCAGCATCTGTCAACACAGTATGAGGTCTTTCACTCAATGACAGAAGGTAAGCTGTCTCCATGCCAGAAAATATTTTAAAAGATCTTCATTTTAAAAGGCATCCTGTCAAACAGAGCTTCTGCCTGAGATGTTGAAGAGTTGGTATTAGATCTCACTCCCTGACATTCTGTGGTCGGCTCCGCTGCCTGGGGCAGCCATTTTGTGACAGCACCAACCATCCCGCATCAGAATTTCAAAGGTGCATGCAGGGTCAAAAAGGTTAGGGACCCCTGGGCTAGAGACTTACTTAAAAAAAAAGAAAGCTGGGAATTCACAGATGCTTATTCAGCTGTTGTTACCAGGGGTTATTTCCTGCAGGAGTGCACAGGAGTGGAGCTCCGGCAGTAAAGAGCCCAGGGGGCGAGCACATGCAACAAGCCCCACCCCCTGCTCCCAGCAGCCCCAGCCCACAAGGAGAGGGGGGGTGGCATATGCAAATAGGTTGTGCTAATGAGTGATACTAATGAGCTCCTGCACCTCTTTTCCTTCGAAATGACCCCTCCATGGATGGAACAATATTCTAGTCAATTGGGGGGGGGATTGCAAAAGCCATGGTGGCTGGTGGGGGGGACACTGCTGGGGTCCCGGAGCAGAGAAACTGCAGGGAAAACGGCCATGTAGAAGCTGTACTGTCACTGCACTTTTTCTGCAGCTGCTTTAGTAACAAACAGGGAAACCATACAAGCCCCTCCCTATGTGGAAACCACCAGAAATACAAATGAAGGAAACTTTGCAGATCCTCCTTGACAGCACCATGACATTCCCATCGGCATGAGTGGTTCCACCATATAGAACTCTCCACAAAATGGTTATTTCATTTCAAGAAAAGATGTGATAAAAATATGAATGGTAACAGTATGCACTGGTCGTGGGAGAATGCTGCCCTCTGGTGGTTACTGGCTATCCTTGCACAATTTTTACATGCAACCTAACCTCCGGAGCATGACGGAAGACAGGAGGGCCTGGCGTGATGTGGTCCATGGGGTCGCGAAGAGTCGGACTCGACTGTGCGACTGAACAACAAAAAACCTCCTTGGTGAGCTAGTTTTCTGTAATTAGGTAGGCTTTTTTTAATGTAGAGACATATTAAAATATGATCCCCCTACCTGCACTTTGATTGAAATTGTTCCAGGAGTGCTCTACCATGTGCTTTCTTCTGAACATGCAGACTGCTTGTAGTCAAACGTAATTAAAACATCTGGCAAACCCTTGCATACCAAAGCATGTGCCAGCATTCCCCAGTAACTAACCTGGACAAGGTAGTATGCACTGCATGGTTTATTAGATTTTTCAAGTCTTGGTCATGTCAGGGGACATGAAGTGACCAGGACCTTTTTTGTCCAGGTACTCTTCTTAAGAACAACTGGACTGTTTTGTTTGCACAGTAAGGAAAACACTTAACAATGCATAATTTGTAATTTAAGAACTATTATATTGTGGAACTCAGGGGTCATGTCCTGCTGGAGCACACAGGAGCAGAGTTCTGGATGTAAAGAGCCCAGGGGGTGGGCACATGCAACAAGCCCCACCCCCTGCTCCCAGCAGCCCTCAGTCAGAGAAAGAAGCAGCCAGGTAAGCTGCAGAGCACCCCCCTGGCCCCCCGGCCCAAAACAGTCCAGTGGCACCTTTAAGACCAAGTTTTATTCAGGTACAAGCTCTCCCTCCTCTGCGAGGACAGATCTGCACGTCCCCCCCCCAATAGCTACCAATCCAAAACAGTCCAGTGGCCCCTTTAAGACCACGTTTTATTCAGGTACAAGCTCTCCCTCCTCTGCAAGGACAGATCTGCATTCCCCCCCCCCCATAGCTAGCAATCCAGAACAGTCCAGTGGAGCCTGAGCGGTGGGTGTTGCTTTCTGACATACTTCCGGTGATGTCAGGGGGCGTGGCACAGGCAAATAAGTTATGCTAATGAGTTATGCTAATGAGCTCCTGCACCTCTTTTTCTACGAAATGACCCCTGGTGGAAGTTATGGTGTGCTTTGAAAACAGAATCTGAGCGCGTTGGTACTGGTGACTCCTGAGGACAGGAATAACTACAAAAAAACGGGAAGGTTTAGATTGGTAGTGCTACTCTACGCTACGTCAGTCTTCCCTTCAAAATCAAAGGACTTAGACTGGAGTAGCTCTGCATAGGATGGCACTGTGGGTGTGTGGCACTAGAATGGATATTTGTATAGGTCCCATTCAAATAAATAAAGCCTACATAGTATGAGTGGCTGGGGGGGGGGGGGGTTGTACCTCAGCTTTGGCTCTTGCAATCATCCTGGCTAACTCCCACTGACTTCCCCTTCTCCATGAACTTCTGTTTGCAACAACTTCAGGGAACATTTGTAAGGTCCCTGTTCCTCTGTCGAATACCAGAAGAAGAAGAAGACAAAGACAAGGAAGAGGAAGAGGAAAAGGAAGAGGAAAAGGAAGAGGAGGAGGAGGAAGAGGAAGAAGAAAAGACCTGCCAGAGCGGTGTACGATTTCAGAGACAGAAAGCCAAAGTAAAGGCAGAAGGACTTGGAAAATGGCCTTTTGAAGCGATGAATAAGAAGATGATCAGAGATTTCTCTCATAACAACTAACAAAATAAGATAAATAGCGAACTGTTATAAGCAAGAACTCTACAAGTATATTGTGACACTAACTCTAATAGTACTAACATTTTAACTAACAGTGAAAAGATCTCCTCCTCTTGGGGTTTTAGATTAGTGTGGTTTGCTTTCCTTTATCCTTAGTTGTAGTCCCTTCCCTATTATTTCCTTGTAGTTTTTGTAGTTTTGCAAAATAAAAAATATCCCTCCGGGGATTTCAAAAAAAGAAAAGCAAAGAGATTGGATTTATACCCCGCCGTTCACTACCCAAGGGAGTCTCAGAGCGGCTTACAATCTCCTTTCCCTTCCCCTCCCCACAACAGACACCCTGTGAGGTGGGTGGGGCGGAGAGAGCTCTGACAGAAACTGCTCTTTTTCAAGGTCAGCTCTTACCAGAACTACGGCTTGCCCAAGGTCATCCAGCCAGGTGCAAGTGGAGGAGTGGGGATTAGATTCCACGCACTTAACCACGACACCAAACTGAGGGGGGGAGGTTTAGGGGGATGCTAAGGAAAGCAGGGCTCAACTTGGACCCAGTTTGCCTTGAGCCTGGCTGCCAGTGCCTGTAACCTCCAGCGCCTGAGCAGAGCTACACTCTTCTAAGCCCATTGATTTCTGTGGATTTAGAACGATGTGACTCTGCTCAGGGCTGCACTGAATGAGTACAGTATCCCCGCCGGGAAAGCACAGACGGCTGTGGCTGCTTCAGTTGCTGTGACTTCCGGGGTTTTATCGACATTCAAAAAGAAAAGACAAAGTACTTACTTGTGTCACTGGAGTCACTGGAGTCACTGGGTTCAGAAGAACCAAAAAGGACATCAATGAGATGAGAGGACGGGCCAGAGTGATACTGACTGAGTGTGTTTAAAGCCCTGCCAAAAAAAAAGAATACAAAGAAGGAGCTCTTAAAGACAATTCCTTTAAAGACGGCAAAAAAGTCAGGCAATAGTGACATCCCCTATCTCTACAGGGAATTTACGTCGGGCCACTTAAGGATGAGCCATTACGGAGACTTTTCTAGAGTCCAGCAGCATTAGAAACTGTGGAGTTACATTAGGTTCTGCTCCACTTTCTCTCCAAATAATATTTTATTACTTCTTGCAAGCCCAGCACTCTTCATGTCAACGCACATATTCTAACCACAGGGTATTGCTGTTTCCAGCCATGAGGGGGGGAAAATCAATAGATGTGCATGGCCATTTTAGTGTTATTTATTTATGGCGTTAATAAACGTTTTGTTGTTGTTGTTCAGTCGCACAGTCGAGTCCAACTCTTCGCGACCCCATGGACCAGATCACGCCAGGCCCTCCTGTCTTCCGCCGTCCTCTGAAGTTTCCTCAATTTCATGTTCGTTGCATCTATGACACTGTCTGACCATCTCATCCTTTGCCGTCCCCGTCTTCTTTGGCCTTCAATCTTTCCCAGCATCAGGGTCTTCTCCAGTGAGTGCTCCCTTCTCATTTGGTGGCCAAAGTATTTGAGCTTCAGTTTCATTATCTGGCCTTCCAGGGAGCAGTCAGGGTTGATTTATTTTAGGACTCTCAAGAGTCTTCTCCAGCACCATAGTTCAAAAGAATCTATTCTTCGGCGCTCGGCCTTCCTTATAGTCCAACTCTCGCAGCCATACAGTACTACTGGGTATACCATTATTTATAAACTATCTTTCTTCAAATATACAACTTACGGTGCTGCTCTGCCCACCTGGAGGTCACTTGCTTTAATAAGATCCAGTCTTAAATGGGAAAATCACCCAGATTATCTTTATATACAGCTGCCACAGTATAAAAGCTTTATTGCAAGGCTTGTATGATAGAATGGCTGTATCCCTTGAAGTAGGCAACACAGTTCCGAATATTACAAATGTTTTCAGCACCAAAATGTGAGGTAGTTAGGCAGCCACCAAGAAGCCCAGTAAAGCCAAGTTAAACAGAGACGCATCTACGTACTGCATCTGACCCAGTTGCTTTCTTTAATGTGGTCGTCTGCTATTTAACAAAAAAAATCCAGTGCTGGGTGTCACTTCACTGCTTTTAGTCCATAGGACGGCAAAGAGAGAAACACCCCACTCCCCAGCTTGTAACGTTGGACTGAAAAAAGGTCAAACAAGGTATGACACAAGTCACAGACCTGTTAGCCTTTGAATGTCAAATCACAGTTGTGCACAGACCTGAATCACATGGGAGGGTGAGAGAAGGTTTAGCTCTTCCACTCCTGCACAATTTCACAAATCAAAACCAGGCTCCCAAGAAGGTTATTAGCCCTTCAAAGGAAAGCAGATGGGTACCCACCTTAAAAAAAAAAAATTGCAACAGCATCATTTTGATTTGCAAAAACTTAGAGGAGTGAAAGCATTACTCCTCTTTACCCTTCTCAATGTGGCTGTGATCTCAACTTCACCTGCAACTGGTCTTCAAAAGGTGACTGAAGACATGATTGTGGCTCTCCCAGCATCGTCTGCTCTGAGCTAAGAAAGCACTCTGCTGCTACAAATACAGAGATCAAAATAGTCAGGCCCTAGATAAAGCATTTTGAGCCCTTCTGCACGGCTTGTGGTCCTGCAGTAGGGTACGAGACATAAAGGAGAAGGACTTTGAAAGGACTTAAGAAGATATTACAACTATTATAAAGACAATCTCTCTTCTATTAAATACATCAGAAGGCTAGACCTGCATTCTGTTAAAAGATTTAAGATCAGACAGCCAGCATAGTATAGTGGTTAGAATGTTGGCCTAGGATCTTGAAGATTCAGGTTTGAATCTCCATTCTGTCATGGAAGCTCACTGGGTGGCCTTGGGCCAGTCATACACCTCACAGGGTTGTTGTGAAAATAAAATGAAGGACAGAATAATGATATAAGCTATCTTGGGGTCTCAACTCGTGGAGAAAAATAAGGTATAAATGTAGTAAACGAATAAATACACTTACTTTTTAAGCCGTTTATACGTAACATCGTTGGCAAGTTTCAGCAGACGATAATAGTTCTCCTGGTCAAAGCTCACAAGGCTACTCTGGGGCTCATCAACTGCAATTATAATGGACTTGGGGGCCATACGGGTGACAATTCCGGTGGCCAGTTGATCTCTTTGGCCAGCCATTTCATATACTCCCACAATGTCACCTGTGGAAGATAAATCATTGCTGAAAGGAACATGAAGAGCACAAAACAGCAAACGTTTTAGTAGAAACACTACAGTTAAGCATTCCGCTCCTCAGGAATGGACGATGCCTCTTGCAAGGTCTGCACAGCTAGCTCCTTACATATCTCAGGACTCCCGTGCACCTCCCACTAGTCCACCAGCCCTATCAAAATCCACTGCAAAACATCTCCTTAAAGACAAAGCAGAAAAAGCACAGAATTTTATTTTGGGAGCACCATTTCACATCACGGGATTTCAAGAGCTTAGAAAGATACAGCATAAATCCTACGAGAAACTGACCTGCATTTTAAAGGTATGCGCACTGGCTCTTCTCGTATTTCCATTTTAGCTCAAGATTGTCAAACAAAAAAACCCACTGGGAAATGGTGGCTCGAATATGTCTTTAAAAGAAGAGGAAAAAGCTCTGCCTTGCATTGGAAGATGGTGCATTTGGCTGAGCAAACAGTTCATTGAGGCAAATTAGAGAACCAAGCACACTATGGGACCTAAACAATGTCACTTGAAGCGTACCTTGGCATCCCTCACTTCCTCTTAGATTTGCCTCAATGTTCTAGAATAGCTAACATTTTAGAATATTAAAGGTAACCTTACAGATGGGCTCTTTCAAAAGCCAGAGCAAAGATAGCCGTTCACACAGATACAAGCTAATGCTATTCAAGTGAAATTAAAGATTGAGCAGCAAATCTGCATGCTGGGAAGCTCTTTGGAGGAAAATGGATCCGTGTTCAGGTCTGCTATAAACTTATAGCACACAAACATTACAAGCTGGCTTCTGGATCCATGTAAAGCCAGTATGTGTCTCAAACAGAAACCTCCTCTAAAAGTAACTGGGTTATCTCATTTTCTTTGTAGACTTTATGTGGGTCCCTTTCTAGATTCCAGAATACCACTGGGAAATCCAGAAAAAGTCTTCAATATTACAGCCCAAGGCTGACACTGCCATAGACAATATGTATCAGTGGACTGGGTGTTCTCCAGTGCCAAAGCATTGTCAGGATCCTGGTTAAATCAGTTCTCAACACCAGTCACTTCGGGGGGGTTGCACGCATGCGTTAACTCGGCAGGACGCCTGGCTCCGAGCTCTCTCCAAACACTAAGGTATTTATAGCTTAAACAACTGCAAACAACTTCAAGCCTAGCATATAATTAGGTGCTAAACATTAAATAACAGCTGTGCCAAGCCAGAAGGTTAGAGATAAGAGTTTACTCACTCTATTTCAGCAAGCAAACGCAGCGAAATAAACGGCCGGCTTGTTGAGCCCTAATTAACAAAAAAGGGCGCTGAGATCTCTGGCAAAACTTTAAGGCATAATTCTTCAGACTCTTCTTGCTACAACACCAGTATCTTTTGATGAGATCTTTTAGCAGCTCAGGGAATTTCTAAAGGGCTTTAAATTTCTTTAGACATAAAGAGCTTGTCAGAGATTTCTCTGAAAGGCTAAGGAAGCATGAAAACAAATACCCATACTGAATTCATAAATGTTCAGCTATTCTGATCATTTTTTAAACCTAATCTAAACTCAGAACACAGAAACATGGCTGAAGCAATACACATTCCTTACTTCCAGCATATATTATTTTTCATCTGCTTCTCTCACTGCAATATAATTTGAATTGTGATTGCTTCTTTGCAAAGAGAACAAGATTTATTATTTCTGGAGGAAAAGAAAGATCTCTTTAAAATAAGCACTAGAAATAGGAAACATTCATAGTGTGACTGTTTTTCTTTTTAAAAAATCTGCCTGTGGAAAGATGAATGAGTTAGAGCTATTTCCCCCTTAGTGTTAAACTCCTGCAATGAATCCATTCATTGCAAAGGGACATAAGTTTTGAACTCTGTGGGGGGAAAGTAGCTGGAGGTATACATTTGGAACAAAAAGTGGTGCATAAGGAAAGGTTTAAGCAACCTCCCTCCCATAACTGTGCAAACCATCTCCTCTCAAAGCTGCTTTTTTGCTTTAGAAATAGCTGTTTGGGTTCAGTTATGTGTGATATGTAGATACTCACAAGAGCTCTTATACCAGCTGAAGCTAAAACTGTTGTTCTGGAAAAGGAATATGGAACTTTGGGTAATTTCATTACATTTTCTGATGCTTCTGTTTTGTAGCACGTGGAACAATATTCCACCAAAGACTTCTGAGTATTCTTTTGCCATGGATTCCTGCAACGTAGCAGGTGCACTTCCCCAATGGCATTTTAAAAAGTGTGCATGAGAGAGGTCGTAAAAATGCATGTTTTCAACATCCTATGGATCAACTGCAGAACTGAACTCAAGAAGGTTAGTTTGCTAATCTTTCATTATTATAGCGGCGGATTTAAATTTGGATTTAACAAAAGATAAATCAATGAAGCTAGGGAACTGGGGCCTGATAGAGGCTCACGAGTCTATGGGGTACCACCCCAAACCTACACATATATCAAGCAGACACAAAACAGCATCATGTATAGACTACATAATTTTGGGAAAGAATAATAATACGATTCTTAAAGATATTAAGACCCATCAGATATGGATCTCGGATCACGCTCCAATTAGCATGGTAATAGAACTCACACAACAACCAATAGATAGAACTTGGAGATACAACAATTTGATAATGGCCAAAGAAAGGGATAGACATTACATATCAGAGCAGATAAAGTTATACTTTGAGGAAAACAGAGGAACAGTACCTATAAATGTATTATGGGATGCAGCAAAAGCAGTGATAAGAGGGCATTGCATAAAGAAAGAAAAGCTCCTAAAAAAGCAATGGTACCAGGGAAGGCAAGCCAAAATTCAAGAATTGGGGACTTTACAAAGTAAATTAATGCACAAATATAACCCTATGATACAGAATCAAATAATAGAAATCAGAAAGCAATTGGATGCACTAGACTCGACAACATTATGGAAAAGGGAAGCTATGGTGAAAAATGAATATCAAAGAAATAGTATTAACACATCAAAAAGATTAGCAAAATACCTGCAAAATAGGAAGGAAAAGCAAAGGGTAAAAAGCATAAAGGTGAATGGCCAAAAAACTCAACACCCTATAGAAATAAGAGAGGCGTTCGCGACTTACTATAAAAATCTATATGCGAAAAGAGACACTGCAGTCTTTACAGAAGAGGTCAAAACTACACTGAAGGAAGAGGAGCAAAGTAAATTACAAGAGGAAATTACCATACAAGAAATAAAAGATGCAATTAAGGAACTCAGAAAGGGGAAATCCCCGGGTTTAGACGGGTTTACAAGTGAATTTTATAAGGAAATGGTAGAAATATTAACCCCAGAGCTACATATGGTCTTCAATGCGATCTTGAGGGGGGAGAAAGCCCCAGACTCATGGAGACAAACAGAAATAATAGTAATCATGAAACCAGGTAAAGACCCGGAAGAAGTAGGTTCATACCGTCCCATTAGTCTCCTTAATCAAGATTATAAGATCTTTGCTAAAATCTTGGCAAACAGAGTAAAGAACATCATACCTAATATAATAAAAGAAGATCAATATGGGTTTATTAAGGGGAGGAATATTGCTCATCCGATTAGGAACATAATAAACGTACTGCAACATAGTCAACAAAAAAAATTAGCCCTCCTAAAACTGGATGTCTATAAAGCTTTCGATACCCTCTCTCAGGGATTTTTGTGGCAGGTTATGAGAAAGTACAAGATGGGAGATAATTTTATAAAAGCAATCCAGGAAATATATAGAGATGGGAAAGCAGTGGTTAAGGTTAACAATGACAAATCACAAACATTTCAGATTCAGAGAGGAGTTCGACAGGGCTGCCCACTCTCACCACTTCTATTTACCATAGCGATAGAACAGCTAGCTGAGAGAATAAGAAATAGTGTAAGGATAAATGGTCTCAAAGCAAAGAAGGAAGAAATGAAAATTAATTTATTTGCAGATGACATTATAGTGGTTATGTCAAATCCCCAAGAAGCGATGAAAGAGATTAAAATTATACTAGAGGATTATGAGTGTTTCTCAGGTTTAAAAGTAAATATGGCCAAATCAGAAATCATGTACCTTAATGTGAATAAAGAAGAAAAAAAAGAAGTAAACAAAATTACAAGTATCGGTATGGGAACTAAAAGGTTTAAATACTTAGGGATAGTGATACAAAAAAAGATTGATAGAATCGCGGAAAGTAACTACAACATAATATGGAAGAAAATAGAAAAAGATATGAGAAAATGGAAAAACAAAACGCTAGGGCTCTCCACTAGAATTAGAAGTGTTAAAATGTTCTGGCTACCCAAATTAATATATTTATTTCAGGCGATACCACTAGAAGCACACAGTAAAAAGCTAGAACAATGGAACAGAGTGATTAGAGAATGGGTATTTGGGAGCAAGAAGTACAGAACCCAAAAGAGATTGATATATAGTCCCAAAGGGGAGCTAGGGTGGGGAGTCCCGGAGCTTAACAGCTATTATGAAGCCTTCCAAATAAAGTCCCTATTAGAAATAGGCGAAGGGGAAGAGCAAAAATGGGTTAGATTTGAGAACGAGATCAATAATCACATTGGCTGCTGGGGGCCTCTTTGCAAAGTCACAAAAATAGACCTCAAACTAACCAAAGGTCCCAGACATGCAGCCTTAGAAGCGTGGAATAAGTGGCAGGAGTTATGGCTAAGAAAAACTTCAAGCTGGGCACCATTAAAATCTATAAACAAGGATATAACAGGTAACGAATGGTGGGAATGGCTAAAAGCTAAAGGGTATTATAGGATGAAAGATATGTTTAGAGGAGGCAATCTAAAACCCATACAGGAGATAATAGAAGAGGTGGGCAACCAACATTGGTTAAGAATAACTGGCCTGTATAGTAAGGTTAAAAAGATAAAGGAAAAAGAGAAATGTTGGCTAGAGGAACCAATAGAAACATTATACAAAGAGATGCAAAAGTCAAAACAAGGGCTAGCAGGGAAAATTTACAAGGAAATGACATCAAATGTAGATAA